CTAAAAGCAACCCTGTGATCTTCCAAAATTTCCACGATTCGAACATGGTTTAAAGAGAAAAAGTGGCAACTTTGCTTTTTCGGGTATACAGTTTCTACCTGCGTTTCAGTGATCGCCGTTCGAGATTTCTTTTATTTTGCATTACATATTTGGATAAAGAAAAGTTAAGCAAATTCAACATCGATTTGATGCTGATAGAAATCTGGATCAATTTGTGATCAACTCTGTTTTGTTTGTTTCCTAATTAAGTGAGGAAATTTTAATTGACAGCACCGACAAATGAATATATACACAAACAAATGTTCGGTTATGGTTAAAACAATTCAAGTTTTTGTATTGAATTTTTGGTTTAAAATTTACTTTTTCCTTTTCAGTAGGGTTTTTGCACATTATCTTCTGCGTGAGAATTGATCGTAATATATACGCATCTAAATAAAAGACTGGAACACGGCTGTTTGTCAAAAGCATACGATTTCGAACTCGCGTAAATGTACATTTGCTAAATGCTATAGCATGAACGCTCTTCGAAAACATATGTTCGAAAGTGCTAAATGTTGCATTTTAAATGCAGCAAAAACGCTGCATAAGCAAAAACAGCCCATAAGCCAACCTAATATTCACGCACACCGACAGCAGGGATGCCGTTTGGATCTAAATAGATCCAATTGGATACATTTTTTGACGAATATTTGCGAGATACTTATTTTTTCTGATCAGTATAAATGTGGATACTTTTTTAAATAGGCCAACATTTTATAGTTTCTATAAAGTTTTTTTTTCGTTCAAAACACGATTTTCATTAAAGATGGTAGGAAGCATCACGTTTTCTAAATGTATTAAAAATCGCTACTTAAAATTAAAGCATTTAATTTTTTTGTGAACGAAGAACCATATGAAGAGATCTCAGCAAAATAAGTATAAGCGCAATTGTTTTAATTAGCTAAAAGGGATGCTTTAAGAAAGATCTTAATATATATATAAAGTAAATATATACTCTTTCTGTAGTAATCTCTTTCATATCCCATATTTTCATTTGTTAATTTAAAAAGAAAGCAGATCTGAATGTAGATTAAAATACTCTGTTAAAAAACTAAATTTGATTTATTTAAGGAAATTTGTATGAATTTTACTGAAAAGACTTTAAATACACTCTAAAAGAAATTGTTTATTTGCGCATATTAAGGGCCGGTTACTCAATGTCTGGTTAACACTAATCTGCGGTTAAACATCGTTATCGACGTCTTCGACTCCATGCATACAACAGGGAGTCGGTAACGTCGATAACTATGTTTAACCGGAGATTAGTGTTAACCAGACATTGAGTAACCGGCCCTAAGAGAGGTAACCAGTTTCGTTTTTTAATGTGTGCAAATTTGCACACCGCGTAATAAAACTAAACATTGCCTGTTTTCTTTTACATACCACATTTGTCGCGAAGAGCAAAATTACACATTAAAAGTTTAAAATAGAGTAAATGTGAGCCCCTAATGTTAATTATTAGTAGGAAATGTATTTTTAGTTTGACCATTTTTGCATTGTTAAAAATTTTATATGTATATTTATGTATATATTTTGAAGATCTCAAGTTGAAAATGAATTCCTGAACATCTTATACATATATCTATACAGATTCTTGTTTAAAAATAGATACTTTTCAGTAATAGTTTTACATGCTCTTTTTACAGTGTACAGGTTAAAATGTAACATATTAATTACCATTTATTATACTTAGGGCCGGTTACTCAATGTCTGGTTAACACTAATCTCCGGTAAAACATCGTTATCGACGTTACCGACTCCATGTTATATGCATTAGGGTAACCGCCCTATTCCCACAACACTGACAAAATTCATCATATGACTATTGTCACAATTACNGCGCCTAATACTATGCCGCAAATTTATTTTAAGCTGTCATATGACAATTGTCAGTTTTATTGTTATGACCTACTGAGTAAGTGACAACGGCGAAACAATGTTTATATTGTGTTTTAGGCGCAGTAATTGTGACAATAGTCATATGATGAATTTTGTCAGTGTTGTGGGAATAGGGCGGTAAATCATCCAAGGCGAATTTATACAAGGTTGTGTTAATGACGAATTTAGATTTCGCCGCGGTACTTCTTAATGTCAAAATGATGTATTTGTTGTAATATGAATTCGCCCTGATTTCAATAAACACATAATTTTGACGTTAGGAAGTACCGCGGCGAAAATCTAAGATAGCCATCAACACCACCTTGTATAAATTCGCTTTGAAATCATCTACAGGTAGATCGCGACAAGCCCCAACACCTGACAAACCTTCCATGTACCTTTAGCTAAACGGAAGCGCTGGTTATACTTGCATTGTGCTGCAGCGCATAACATGGTTACTGCGACTTATCTACTCGGTTAGCAATTTATCTGTGCAAATATCTCATACCTTTTGCATAACATTAATAGAGCGTATATTCTAATAGTGCATAAATACTGAAATTTGCTAATTTAGAATAGTTACTAGAGCAAAGAGTTTGGAAGCATACAAAATAATTTTAATATGTACAGTGTACATTGCACACAAAAGTCGACACAATATCGATATATATCGGAAGGTCCAAAACATCGGTTTTATTCGATAAATCGAGTAGAAAACATCGATGCTTCCGATGCATCGATGTTTTCGATGCATCGATGTTTTTTCTGCATTCCTACGCTGATAAGCATTATGAAATGCAACAATANTGGAATTATTCAATAAATTTCGTTTTACACTATACTTTTTGAAACTATTTGGAGTTAATTATTTTTTGTTTCTTAAAAGCAACCCTGCGTGCCGGGAAGGCGTGTGTACCAATAATTTCATCCCTAGCATATTCATCCCCGAGGAAGGCAGTCGCCAAATTCACCGAAGGTTGTTTACTGGTTATATTGTGATAAAATTGTAGCTGTATAAAGAAACTTTCAGACGCTCTTAAATTTGGAATTTTGTTAATCTGCTTTTATTTGTGAAAATGGTGCAACAATTCTTTTGCTTCCGTCTGGAGACGGCTGCTATGATAATAGGATGGTTGGGAGCAGTTGGTTCGGTGATATCTGTTGTGGTTTTTGGGTTTTGCTTGGGATATCTGGATGAGATTGTGCAGAAAATTATTGAATCGGCCCCGGAAAATACAAAGCTTGATCCAGATCAAATTCGTACAAGTTAGTCATATCTCTGTTTTTTTGCACACCTGCATACAAACATATACATACATATGGGGCTAATTGCGTATCTGTAATTTCCTTTTAGACTTTTGTTAAGCGATTTCTTATCTTATTTTGCAGTTTTGACTGTCGCATTTGTGATTTTTTTGATTCTAAATGCCATCAATATGTTTGCGTCGATATGTTTGATATTGGGAACGATGAAGGTAAGTTTTAAAATACAACAAATTAATGATTTGTTTAACTGGATTGTCTAACTGAACAATATAAAATAAGGCTTGACTTTAGTGTACATCCACATGTGTGTGTTTTGGCAAAATTATCGCGAATTTCCTCATGAAACTTTACGAGTATGCTAAAAAACAGATATGTTCACATAAATTTTCACTATTTTCACTTTAATACTAGTATTTATGTAATTTGTTGTTTAAATTGTTCGCACCTCCACCAGCAAATTTTCATATAAAAAGTGCAGCTATCACTTACAGTCAATCACAGAAGTATTCGTAATTTAGTATTTTTCACAATATTAAAAAAATGTTTTCCATCATAAATCTTTTTCGTTAATTTTCTTTTAAAATATAGCTCATTCTATAACTAAAACCATATAAATCATTCTTGCAAACTTTATACAAAATTCATAAAAATGAATCAAACTTAAAAAATGTTCATCAAAATTTCAAATTTTTTTGGTAAGACAAAGTGCAAGTTTCAAGTACACTGCCGGAACAAACAAATATTTTTCCGATGATTTCGCATAAGAATATGGTTCATTCAACAACAAAAAACATAAAAATATAATTCATAAACTTTGTGCAAAACTCGCGAAAATTCAGCAAACTTTCATGAAAATTGTCAACTTTTAATTCAAGNCAACAACAAAAAACATAAAAATATAATTCATAAACTTTGTGCAAAACTCGGGAAAATTCAGCAAACTTTCATGAAAATTGTCAACTTTTAATTCAGATTTTTTTTTGGTAAGCAGATGTGTAGCCCAATCAATTTTATTATAATAAAGTGCAAGTTTTAAGTAGCTAGGAATTACAGTTCATACTTCAAATTAAAATTAGTTAATGAGTTTTTAATGCTTGTTATAATTTTAATGCAATAAATTATTGCAATAGCATTCATTTAAACATTTTAATGTTAATACAAAAAATCATAGCATTATTTCTGCGGAATTAATGCATTAAAATTTTCATTTAAATTAAATTTCAAAAATGAATGCATTAATTTTTTCCGTCTACATTAAAATGCTATGCATTAAAAAATTAATGCATTTTTCACAACTCTGATGTTTACTACTTTTATAAATCTATTATTGTGGTTAAATTAACAAAAATAGCCTATTACTTAAAAGAAAATTTTGATGTGCATTAAAAGTTTTACAATTAAGTCACATTTACCTATTTCAAGCATGAAATCGATGAAATTTGCATCAACATAATTGGTGAATTTCACAACCTTAACAACAAATTACTTAAAAACGATAAGAGTGCGCGGGGTGGGGTTTTCACCCTTTAAATCAACCACCCTAATGTACATACATATACCTACAGTCGGTCAATAAAGTTTTGGTAAAGCGAATTTTTTACAATTCCGGTAACTATTTTTTAAATAATTTATTTTTCGCTGGTTTTTTATAAAAATATAATTAGGTCTACAACAAAAACCCCAAAAATTAGAGTTCAAACCTTGTACAAAATTAAAGAAAATTCCCCAAAAATTCATTCAAACATTGCACTTTTTATTTACACTCTTCAGAAAAAAGTTCGGCACAGAATTTTTAGCCCATTCAATTTTAGTATAACAAAGTGCAAGTTTGAGGTAAGTCCTAGACCATTGATTTTTAGCAATTTGTTTTGTTGAAGGTGTCGCTCGTTTTCTCCCTATTAAATAATGTTCGATCATTTTTTTATATGGAAAAAATGTGCGACACCGTCAACAAAAAATTTTGCCAAAAACCAATGGTAAGTCCTAGCCATGATAAAAACATAGTAAGTTAGTTTCTTTTTGAAGTTTGCCAACATTTTAAAATCATATAAAATTGAGAGTAGAAAAGGAATTTTTCAAAGTTGTTGTTTGGGATTGAAAATGAGAATGTGTGTGAGTTTGTGTGCAAAATTTTAAAATTAAATTGCTTGCGAACGTCAATAATTTGAAAAATTCCTCAGTGGTTCTACCTTCCTATTTTTTTTTATCATGGTCCCTGCTTCCTCATACTTGCATTGCATACTCAACTTTTCTAGAGAGCGTAAATAAGAAGTGCAATATTTGAATGAAATTTTGCGGAATTATATTTTTATAAAAAATTAGCGAAAAATGAAATATTTAAAAAATAGGTGCCTGTATTGTAAAATATTCGCTGTACCTAAACTTTATTGACTGACTGTATGTGCATAAAAATGAATGTAAGTGTGTAATTCGTAAAAAATCCCCTTAGCAGCCGCATTTACTCTTACGTGATGAATGCATGCACCTACGCAGACAGACATACATACAGTTGTCCACAAAATAATAGGAGTGCGATATTTTGACCAGTTTTGGCTATTTGTCTTTTGTTTATTTAATGTTTGTTATTTTTTTATAAAAGCCTAGCTGGCTATACAACAAACACCATATAAATTCAGATTTTAAACTTTGTATAAAAATTATAAAAATTTTGCAATTTTTCACCCAAATTTCAAACTTTTTAACCAGAATCTTTAGAAAAAATTCTGGTATGCAGTTTTGTAGCACATTCAATTCTAGTCTAAAGAAGTGCAAGTTTCAAGCGGCTAAAAAATTTCCGTTGATTTTTGAGAATTTTTTTGGTTAAAGGTGTTTCACGTTTTTTCCATACAAAGTATGTCGACAATTTTCTTTTATATGGAGGACACTGCCAGCAAAAAAATTGCCAAAAATTAACGGAATTTTTTAGCCGCTTGAAACTTGCACTTCTTCAGACTAGAATTGAATGTGCTACAAAACTGCATACCAGAATTTTTTCTAAAGATTCTGATTAAAAAGTTTGAAATTTGGGTGAAAAATTGCAAAATTTTTATAATTTTTATACAAAGTTTAAAATCTGAATTTATATGGTGTTTATTGTATAGCCAGCTAGGCTTTTATAAAAAAATAATAAACATTAAATAAACAAAAGACAAATAGCCAAAACTGGTCAAAATATCGCACTCCTATTATTTTGTGGACAACTGTATGTATGTATGTACATCCCATTGGGAAAATGGAATGCTTGGTAACATGGAAAGCAATGTATCTCCCTTTTAGCCTACACATTACAGGATGCATAAATTTTTGTACAGGCATGTCCTAGGAAAGTAATGTGTCGCGTGTCGCTTTATAAAACTATAAATATAATTTATAGAAAGAAGCGTCCGTGACGCAGGATTTGAACGCGCGGCCAACAAGTTAATAGTCGAATGCGCTACCACTTGTTATCAAACTTTTTTTGTTTGTGGTTTCAAAACTACACATGGAATGGTTGGTGATGTAGAAAATAATGATCGCCGGTATACATTCTCCGCTCGTTTACATTGCGATGCATCGTTTCACTCAAACGTATTCGTTAATCTTTTCGTTGTAGAAAAAGATAATGCATTCCCCATTCTCGCACTGGGATTCTTATATTTAAACACATATACAAAAAAAGCATTGTGTATTAAATTGCATATATTTACTTACATAGTAAGTATAAGCACGATTACTGTGAGTCACCAATGAACACTAATGTACATACGTATACATATGTGTACATACATACATAGATGTAATTGTTTATTTTCTGCATTCTTAAAAAAAAAAAGATTTATTATTTTTTTATCAATTCTAGCAACGGCATCTATTGCTTTTACCATGGCTTTTAAATACCGGCATTGCGCTTTTATTTGCTGCAACGTACTACGTCCTTTTGGTAGTAGAAGCTGTACAGATGTCATATTCATCTAATATTGGTTTGATAATCTTTGCTTCAATTAACTTGGGTAAGTAATTAAGAATATAAAATAACATGGTACATTATGATAAAAATATAGTATTATATTTTCATCGTTTGACAAATTACCAAAAAATAAAAATAAAATAAATAAATAAAAAATAATAAAAAAGTAGGTAAGAATACATACATACAATACATACGTTCTTGAAAAGTATTCAGTCAGTCGATTTGGCTGTTTAAGACGCAATGAAGCAAAATCTAATTTGCCGAAATTTTGCTCACCCATCAGCGAAAGAGAAGGTAAGCGAGTTTATAGGCACCTTGGACTTTACCTCTCCTAAAAACCAAAAAAGGCGAAAAAGAGAAAAAATAGTTCTGGAAAATAGAGAATATAAAGAGCTAAAGAATGAAATCTAAGTTACTGGAGATAGGTAGCGCTCGAAAAAAAAATATTAAAATATATCCGCTCTTTAAATATAAATTTTCGTATTTTAATTATAACGCGAGAAGAAGCTTAAATATCTTCGATGCAAATATACACCAATGGGCAACAACTTCAGGCGCAGTCATACGTGGGTAAATAGAAGCTCTTCACATTTACAAGAAGCAAAATTATGGAATAGAACTTCAGTTAGGCCCACTTGCAGCACACCCAGAGTTAAATATATATGTAAATACAGAGTTCAGTAGCTCAGAGTAATAATATTCCTAAACCAGACAATTTCTTGCAGCATTGAAAACTGGCCCAGAGTTAAGTAACCCGAGGGATTTCTAAATTTAACGTGTTCTTACACGATATGTATTTCCATCTATAAATGTGGCTGTTTCGATACATATCGTCGCCTGGGTAAAAGATTGTCGTATTACTTTCGGCAGGTTTTGGGAAATCGATGTTAAAGATTCAGTCACAATTTCTCAATAGCTGTACAGTCGCTTTTTGCCAAAATTTAATGCTTGATTGTACATACTATTTGTATGAAACCAAATTTTCTGAAATTTTCAGTAACTAATAAAGCTTTAACAGCCACTTTTTTATAAAGTCGTTTGGTCGTATGTTATATTTTTCACGTTAAAGGCTAGCCAGCTGTATGACACTACAAATCACACACACAGTAAGTAATAAAAAGGCTGAAATTGTTGAAATTATTTTTTGCTCGTACACCTGCGATATAAATTATTGAATAAAAATCAACAAAATATTAAACAATTTGTCCATAAGAGTTACTGTAGCACATACGACTATCTATTGTATAGGATTGGTGTGATTTTGTCGTATGTACCATACCATACAATTTGTCACATAAGACAATATTTTAACAAGTAATCAATTTCATCAAAATATATGAAAATTTTGTCGTGTCGCCCGCGAACTTGCAAATACGAAAAAAATTTTTACTGAATATCTCGGAAACTAAAGGAGATATCCAAAACCTGATAACACGAACCGAGAGATCTTATTTAAAAAAAAAAAAATAAAACTGCATTTTGCAACTCAAAATCGTCAAAATTGCGCATACTGCCATCTTTTACGCAGGCGACTATATGTAATTGCACAGATGATTCTATCTGTATACCAGATGAAAATAGAAACATTTTTATTTCGTATGTACTTGCATCTGCTTTGTACTGAAACAAATCGAATTGCCTTTACACGATATGTTGGTATTACAACACTTGCAAATACATATCGTGTAAGAACACTTTAAGTAGGCACCACTTGCATCTAATTTTTTTTATTCTTGTTACTGACAGACATATGTAGAGTTAGCAAGTTAGTCTTCGAAAATTGCTGGGCTAAGGGTTTGACGATTTAAATCTAATTTTACTCCTAACCGATTTATCAATTTAAC